AAAGATTTGGGTACGAAGGAAAAGAGAGAGGGTTTTATTTTCTGACCATGCGTGAGTTCCCAGACGCACCGGGGACACATATTTATGTATAAAAGACATCACAAAGTGCATTTTGCATGATAGGTCCCCTTTACTTAAAGTCAACGTTTCAGTATTTCATTGTAGTATTATGTCAACATATTTCACACAACTGTAGGTTAGTTAAAAGCAATAATATTAAGTTCAAATAAATAAATATTAGGGTCAACTTAATAGTATTGCTTTCCACTAGCCTGACACAGTTAAGTGACATTTGTGGACATAATACCTTTAATTAAAATCATTGTTTCCGGGGTTTTTCAGTGTACAGTATTTCAATAGTTTACTTATTTCCGCATTTTACTTTCAAGATTGTGTCCCTTGCGCAAATATTTTTCGAATTTCTTGCACAATTTTTTTCTTTCTCTTAAGTATATATGTTGGAGCAACACTTGTTATGCATAATATATGCAGCACTACACTGTAGATATTATACATATAACAATAAAGCCGTTGAAAAATGTCAGACTCTGATAACAGTGAGGGATTGATTCAATAAAGATCCTTTCATATTTAATCAAAAATCAGGTCAATATTTTTGTGTTGAGCCTCAGAATCGTATTATCTCTACTAATCAAATGTGATCCCTTGAATTTGGTGCATGTTTTATGACTGATTATGTAATGGATCAGAAAGCGTTGCATTAGCAAGCATGTGAGGCTGTGAATATAGTAACTTAGTATGAATACCCTCATTATGTAGGCTCCTATAGATTTGATCTAAAAAGTGTGTTCATACTTTCAGCTGGAGGTTTATTCCCCATTTAAACAGTGTTTGCCCCGGTCCCTGAAGGCAGCACTGCTCTGTATCAGACCTTGTGTGAGCCACAGCTTCCTCTGCTGTCGGCTGAAGCTTCTCTGCAGAAATGTCAGCTCTGGTCCAGACTGCTGTTATGGACTGTACAGTATATTTTATTAACAAAGATATTCTATCTCCTATGTTGGAACATGTTAGAAATATCCTAAGTAATGTTTTTTTTTTTTTATATATGTGCACTATAGTACTCTGTTAGTAAAAAGTTACACACAGACAAAGTTAGCAACTAACCAGTAAAAGTATTGAAGCATTAATCAGCTCAGTAGTTTGGCGGCAGAAGAGAAGAACAAGACTCCAGGGAAAAGCAAGAGATAATCCTGCTGGATGTGCAAGCTTTCATGTTCCCCTTAACACATTTCAATTCAGTCGCCCCAAAACGATCGAACAACTAAACAAAAACATGAGCTTTAATGCAACAAAAGACTATAGATGTGTCAGGAACACTTCAATGACTTTAACAATGACTGTTCCATGATACGTTGAATTCTTGAAAAAATTATTAGAATCAAAACCAGAGAACAACCGAATGTAAATGGAGGCCCTTGAAGCATCCAAGCAGTGTATGCAGCAGTATACAAAGTAAGATTTGTTTTAGGAAACACACAACTGAATACATGAGACGTGGATCACACTGTACACGTTGTGAGAGAGTTAGTAAACGGATGGTTTGATGGTGGATCGTTTTGCTGCTGGCCCCTTTTCACTTCAATTAATAAATACTTTTCTTTTGGAGTCCTCTTCACTGCAAAAGCATGCGAGAATTATTTTTAAAGAATTAAAAGTAACACTGTGTGAAGTAATCCCTTATTACAAATATGTGACACCGACTTCATAACCAGGGTTCCTTTAAGCATGTATTCTGTTAAAATGACTTATAAGAAAAAGCATGCAAAATTGCAACAAAATGAATAAATGACATCTCTGTGGCTCAGCTTCCTGGATCATGTGACCACCACAAGCAGTAAACCCTACAATCCACTAGAGGGCAGCACTATCATACATCATGAGTCACACGATCCACACAGACCACAGCATCCTTTCACTGCACTTCCTGTCTGTTACGAGGTTGCGTTTGGATAGTTTAAAAATCAGCTCCTAAATTCTAACCCTATCTCCTATTCCTTGACCTCTGAGTGAAACGTCACGGGGTTAAGGGATAGTGGATAGGATAATTCAAAAGGACTTAGGAAAAGAGACTGCGGTACTTTAGAGAATCCGAATGCACTTTCACTATCCGACGTGTTTATGATGCGCCAGCGGACGTCATTGTGTGCGTCTGCTGCTGTGGGGAAACTATGGAAACTACAGTTTTCTATCCAACGGACTACAACATGGATGTTTAATAAGAACGACGGACTCATCTAGAGACTTTGCACCGTGCTCTGATACTGTTGCTTTATGAACAACAGAGAAACATATTCTTCATGACCAAAATTGGAATTGAAATAAAAAAGGAAAGTGAAACTTATGCTCGTCACCCTCTCCCTCCGGTCCACATTAATACAAATGATCCCAATACGTATGATTGTATGAAAATGTCTTAAAATCAATACAAATGTATTTATTATAAACGTTAGTCTTTAACACCTATCACTGTGTATATCATTCAAACATCTTTTAAAAGTTGAACAAACCCCACACAGCTCAGTGAAATGTGGACTTTATTTGATCATTTCAGTAAAAACTAACGTTCATATTTCTCTTTTTGATTATAATACTGATGAACGTTCAAAACAAAGCACTTTGGCAACTTACCACATACGTTTTAAAATGCTTAATAAGCACCGTAACTTTCATGATATCATTTCTCCGTCATAATCGTTTGTTTCCGTGAACGGCCGACTGTTGAGTGACGGCAAAAGCTGCGGCTGCAATGCATTGTGGGGCAGCATTTTCTCCTCTCCTTTCGTCAAGGGAGGTCCAGTGGTTCCTAAGCTAAAGGAGGTTATAAAGGAAGCTTGAAACCTCCTTTCCTTTCATTTAGAGAATTGGAACGGCACTTAACATGGCTGCCACTGAGGGACTTCCGGGTCATTTCACTCCGTTAGGAAGGTTCCTCAGAGAAATGGACTATTGGAACGCAGCCCCAGACTTTAAAGCGTTGTGTGACGTCTTTAAAGGTACGATCATCTTTTAAAGAATCAGTTCCCGTGAAGTCGGATATTTGCAATGCAAATTAAAAAATAATTAAAATCTGTAAATCCTCATGTGAAGCTTTAATGTGTTTGTGTTTACTTTGAGATATATTTAAAGCAAAATCGCAACAACAACAAACCAAATGACAAACAATTCAGATTCACTTTTTTACAGCCAAATAGGAAAGATCATGTTTTACAATAACAAATAAATATTAGCATTTAATTGATTTTGAGGCGGTGAAGAGATCCTTCCATCTTCTCCCGCTTATCCGTGGTCGGGTCGCGGAGGTAGCAGCTCCGGTGAAGAGATGCGTCAACAATGAAGACGAAGAGCTTTACCAACACACTGCTTTAATGTAACACTGAAATCACAAAACAACAACAACAAGCTACGTATCAAAGCACAACGTGTGCAAAATAACTACAGGGTCAAATAACGCATGATGACAAACACCGGCAAACCTATCAATTAGCATTTTTATATAATGTTTTTTAATCCAACAAAAGGATCATTTTCTGTAATTGCTAGGTTTAAGACTTAAAATGGAAAAGGACCTCAACTGAATAATTAATATCATAAATGTATTGAAATGGAGAATCATTAGGGTCGGTATAAACCATTTTAATTTCTCTTTAATATTTAAAGTTAGAAATGACATTCGAGCTGTAAATCTACCTCTAAGCTATGTTTAAGCGTAGCTGCTCTGAAGATGGTAAAGAACAACAACAACAGAATCTATAAACAATAAACAAACTCATGCCACTCATTCTGCACTTTGCACTTGTGGCCGTATTCAGTTGCCTTCGTGTCTTCCACACAATTCAACCTCAGAGCGAGGTGAGTGCAGGTATCTATAGATTTGAGTAAAACTCTAGACTTGGAGTTCAGGACGTTTTGTTCAGGCGTCAGACGGCGGGGACGAACAGGCCGTGGAGGTCCATGTGCACGTTGGCATCGATGGACGCTCGGGCGATCTCTGTGAAGGTTTTGGCGTCGAGGACGAGCATGAAGGGCGAGATGTTGGGATCCGGAGAGATGACGGACGATAAGATCACGCCTGAGAGAAGAGAAAGGAAACCGGTCAGACTGTGATGGAGACTCAGAGACTCAGAGACTCAGAGAGCCGGAGCTCTGATGGAGACTCAGAGACTCAGAGACTCAGAGAGCCGGAGCTCTGATGGAGACTCAGAGACTCAGAGACTCAGAGAGCCGGAGCTCTGATGGAGACTCAGAGACTCAGAGACTCAGAGAGCCGGAGCTCTGATGGAGACTCAGAGACTCAAAGAGCCGGAGCTCTGATGGAGACTCAGAGACTCAGAGACTCAAAGAGCCGGAGCTCTGATGGAGACACTGAGGGTTTATTTGGAGCTTCTGTGTTTCTGAAGATCTCTCCCCCAGACCATGTACTTAGCTCTGAGANAGCACTGTAACCTCTATCAGCTGAGCCAGCAGGAGGAGACACTGAGAGCAGCCCAAGGTGCAGCTGCTCAGTGAGGAGGACACACTGATACACTGGGTCAGAGGTGTGGCCTATCGGAACACATGTCCCCAAAATAAATTAACCACCATTTTCTCAGGATTAGCATTAGCTCACCGTCGTCTTCCTCCACGGCTCCTGGCGACGCCACGAACACCGGCTCCGAGGCGAAGCAGTTCTCCTGATGCCACTCCAACAGGTTCCTGCTGACCACGTCAAACTTTGCGATCTGTCGGAAGAGAAAGGTTTTAGTCCGGATCGAGTTATTTGATCAGCGGTTGATTCATGATTTCTTAGCGATGTTTGGATCGATGTTGTACCTTGCTGGGATGAGCCGATAACTCCATCTTTGAGGCGTAGAAGTATCGGTACTTCTTAGCGTTGAAGTTGCAGTTGATGCCCGGGAGCTCCAGACCTGAGAATTAAAGACTCGTTAGCTAACGAAAAACAAACAAAGTTAGTTTTTCTGAGCGTTCAGACTCATTCTGTGGTGATACAAATTGGTCTATTGCTTTCAGGTTGATTGGATGACTCCTGTAGTCCCAACGCACGACTTCACTAGCGCTGTAAATAGATGTATTAAGATACAGTAGTGTATCGTCAGCGTAGAGTCAGGTGCTTTTATTTTAAATACGCAATCCTCTGTTTATAGGATTATAGAAGTGTGATTTTAAAGGGGACGCTGTAAGCTCCCGTCTCTTTAACCAGTTATTTGTGCAGGTGTGAGGCCTTAGAAGCTGTAACCCTTCAGTGAACCTTTGAACAGGAAGTCGGGCTGGCAGTACACGGATCCGTCCTCCTTCATCACCGCTGTCGCCGTCTCTCCCTCCAGAGTCACCAGGTTAGATCCTCTGGGAGCCTCCTGCAAGCACACGCTTTATAATAACCCTCTTAACCTGTTAGGAACATCTGGTCCCCGTCACACACAGAGCATCAGCTAGTTCCTGAACAGTGTCCTTCACATGCTGATATCCAAGAGAGGGAGTTCCACAGTCACAAGATGGAGGAATAGAAAGCAGTATTCAATGTTTACTTCAGATTAGCTCCACGTCAGATCTCAAAATTCTGGCTTTTTCTCAAAAATCTGAAAATTATGATTTTTTTCTCAAATCTCAAGATTATGATTTTTTCTCAAAAATCTCAAGATTATGATTTTTTCTCAAAAATCTCAAAATTATGATTTTTTTTAAAAAATCTCAAAATTATGAATTTTTCTCAAAAATCTCAAAAATC